GATTTGTTGTGTGAAGTTGACCTTGCCATCATGCCATCAAAATCGGAGGGATTTGGTCTTGTCGCACTTGAGGCCTTGTCTGCAGGTTTACCCATTCTTGTTGGTTGTAAGTCAGGATTTGCCAAAACATTAGAAAATGTTCCAAATGGTTATTCATGCATCGTCAATTCAGATGATCCAGCAGAGTGGGCAAAAGCAATAGAAGCTGTTCGTGTCAGGCATCGAATGCGGTTGGAAGAGATTAAAGAACTAAGAGCCTCGTATGGGGAGATGTACAGTTGGAAGGAGCAATGTGAAGCCCTTGTGAACAGACTTTGGGAAATGAGTCATGGTACGAAATATACCCCTTTACAATCCTCAACGATTACTTTCCTAAGAAATCACCTTCCAGTGTTGTTATATAAAATGCTACTGAAGGACACCATTCAAAGACAGTAAGTTTTATGTTGGGCAGTGACAATCATGCAAAAACAAAATTGGCTACTTGAAATTTCGAGATGCCTGCTTTTCCTTCATAATAATGTACCTCAAAGCCTGAACGAGCTGACTGTATAACTGGGTAGGAACCGTTTTGGAATGTAATCTTAAAATGGATCTATAGCGCTTTAAAAAGTTATGATGTTTAGTAGTTTTTACCATCGAATCGACTCTGAATTCCTATTGCTTCTTGAGCTTAAATGTTTTGTGCACACCTTTTAAAATTGTATTGGAAGTTGTCAAAGTGGATTTAAATACAAGAAAAGATCTATGGTGTTTAGAATAAGGGTCTCCACAACATTAAAGGGACACAGTTGTCGTCACGGACTTGGTTCCACACGGGTGGTTGTGGGTGGTGGAGATGTGAATGGCTTACACAATCGTATATACATTATTTTGTAAAAAGCTTGTATTAAAGGCTTGTTCTATAAACAGTTCAGTACTAAGCCATTGTTCAGATCCGGGAATGCTGAGTTTTGTAAATTGATTATTAACTATACCTCGATATAACGAACATTTTTGTTGTCTTTTCGAAAATTCGTTAAATCGAGGTGTTCAGTATAACGAACCCTCGATAAAACGAACAAATTTCCCCAATCCCTTGGCACTTCGTTAAATCGAGGTTCTACTGTAATCGCCGACTGTTTTCGTCCATTTTTTTTTTTTCACAGAGGCGGATTCTTTAAAGGCCGCGAGCTCCTTTGAAACAAAGCGCCAGGCTTTTCAGAGGACGGAAAGCGTGGCAGTGGACCATAAAGGTATTGTGAAAGACTTATAATCAATGAAATCGCGGGTGATGTTGCCTATGAACGAGTGTTCATCAGCAAAAGGGATTCTGTGTGGTACATACCTGTACATGCATAAGTACACATAACTTTACACAAGTAATTGATACATGTACATGTGGTTTAAACGTTGGACATCACATGTGCCGGACTGAATGCATAAACTATTTTACTACTAAATAAATATAGCAGTACACGGTGCTCCTCCTTTTTATCTATCGAGCCATCTGGGAAGAATAATTAAAACACATTCACAATATCAATCTTCATATACACACTACCTCTTTGCTGAAAAGTTTTAATGTTTTTTACCTATATTTAAACTAAAGTAGTGTAAATTGTGAAATTACTCAATAAAAAAATTCCCCACCTCTTAGCAGACCTTTGATGAAAACATTCCACACCCTGGGAACTCGCAATCTGATAATGCCTAACCCTGTCCCGGGAGGAAAGGGTACACTTGGAACTGACTGAGCCTTATGTTTCAATGAAATTATTTTTTGTAACCATGGTTTGTTTTCGTAGAGCCATTTATGGAAAATGACAGTAAGCCAAGAATGTACTCCCATGTTGGCGAGACGCTCGCTTCAGAAACGTCAGTTGATAGTAACTGTCAGAAAAAAACTGATACTGTACCAGGAAATCAAACTAAAATATTTACAGTTAACGTCTCTCAGTCACAAAACAGTCGTAAGCGTAAAAATTCAGAATCTTCTGGTGATCCAGGTGAACAATAACATGATTTGTTTTCCTTGCTATTGCCTACTAGTTTATCTATAAAGAAAAGAGTAATTGTTAGGTTACCCAAAGGTGCTTTTTTCCACAGAACTTGTTACCGTTACACTGTAGTAGTATAGTGTATGTAGTGTAATTCATTTCCGACTTTATTTACCAACTCTGGTTTAACACCACATTTTATCCTGGATTCCGAGAATACTTCAAATCTTGTAGCCTTAGAAAACAGCCGACGTGTCACTACGGTGACATCAGTATGGAACTAATCTCCGTGTTCGTTCTGTTTCTCAGACGTCATTTCGTAGAGGAACAAGGCCGGGGTGTCGTCGCGAAATGTCGGCCGTTTTCTGAGGGTACAAATCTGGGGACCAATGCAAGGTGTTGACTTTCGAACGATGTATAGTATTCTAGTATACGTTTCTCGCGATATTTTGGGTTTCGTTAATAAAGACATTTATTTCTCGGCGCGTTTTCTATGTTTCAGAAATTACTACAAAGCATTTTTTTCAAGACCTTAATGATGAAAAGAGTAAAGTAGTCCACGATACTTTACAACGACAAATACAATTGTACTTCCAACATCGTATCATTGCAACCCCAGAAGGAGTGTCTGGCCTGATTGAATATATAAAGGGCACGCACAACATGGCCTTGCAATCTGTGGGTATAGGATCTCTAGAAATAACATTTCGGTGCCCCTCCTTGGAGAGCCTTGAAAGTTTGTGGAGTGACTATCAGTCNATTCCGAGAATACTTCAAATCTTGTAGCCTTAGAAAACAGCCGACGTGTCACTACGGTGACATCAGTATGGAACTAATTTCCGTGTTCGTTCTGTTTCTCAGACGTCATTTCGTAGAGGAACAAGGCCGGGGTGTCGTCGCGAAATGTCGGCCGTTTTCTGAGGGTACAAATCTGGGGACCAATGCAAGGTGTTGACTTTCGAACGATGTATAGTATTCTAGTATACGTTTCTCGCAATATTTTGGGTTTCGTTAATAAAGACATTTATTTCTCGGCGCGTTTTCTATGTTTCAGAAATTACTACAAAGCATTTTTTTCAAGACCTTAATGATGAAAAGAGTAAAGTAGCCCAGACTTTACAACGACAAATACAATTGTACTTCCAACATCGTATCATTGCAACACCAGAAGGAGTGTCTGGCCTGATTGAATATATAAAGGGCACGCACAACATGGCCTTGCAATCGGTGGGTATAGGATCTCTAGAAATAACATTTCGGTGCCCCTCCTTGGAGAGCCTTGAAAGTTTGTGGAGTGACTATCAGTCAGGTCACCTTAATGACGTTGCCGAGAGATACCTTGTGACTGATGACATAAAGAAGAAACTGAACTTGGAGAGTATCGGGCTGGAGACAACTATTGAAGAAGAAAACTACCTGATTTGTAAGGAAATTCTAATGGAAAAATCATGTAAGCCTGAAAGCTCTTTATAAGAAATTGACTTCAATTTAAACTATTAAAACTAGAAGTTTTCATTGAGAAGGGAAGTACTGCCGTTAGTTGCGATGCGAATAGGACAAAGGCAGTATGTAAAACAGTTAAACATATGAATTTTTAACTTAGACTTGTTAGAATTATGAAGCACTCAGAGCGAAATATAAAAAATGAACCGAACACAAATGACAAATATCCTTACATTCAGATAACTCGTTTCAATATGATTTTGTAATTCATTTTAATCATTCACTAAATTCTAAAACAACGGCAGTGCTGATAGGCTGTTTCTTTATCGAACAATCATCGCACACATAGCGAGGAGAGTTGTGAAGGCCAAAACGTGTTAATTCACAGGTCAGGTAGACGTACAGCACATGCTTACAATCCTGATTCCCGAGATAACAATCTGTGTGACAATAGAATAGTGTACTCGCTTTAACTAATCTTGAATTCTACAGCAGCTATCTAAGATCAAAAGAGTCATAGGTCACTTGCAAGGGGGAAGGGGGTCTTAAATATGCGAACAATAGAAAATCTCCACAGTGCAAGAGAAATTAGTTGATCTCGATAAAAATTCACGACAAAGAAGAAAAAAAAACCTTATGTTTACAGTGTATAATTGCTCTCAGTTAAATTCTTTGGATTCTCATATGTCCTCTCAAACGTACCCTTTAATATTTTAAAATCAGCCCAGCAAGTGAAACAGGTGAATGTTTGTATAGGGTTTTCACTTTTCATAATGCGTACAGCAATTTTACCTGCTGTGTGTATTGTTTTTTTAACAATACATTCACACTAGATATGTTATTTAGTAGTGATTTGTCTCTTTCAGCCGAATCAGATCAAGAGACAGCTTCACTAACGATTGACAAAAGCCCAGATAAATGTGAGGTAGGCTGCTTTGTTCTTACGATTAAAACTGAAAATAGGTAAAGACCTAGAGGATAAAAAATCGAGCAGTGCGTCTTTGCTGTTGGTTAAAGTATCGAGCCCCATAGCTAAGAAAACTTCGTTATCTATCCACAGCCAAAATTTTTAGTAGTCACTTTACACTGCAGTGTTAAGGAAATGGTAATGAAAATATGTTCATCGCGTCAGTCTTATTTTATGAGGGTTGTAATCTGCCTTTTTGTTTTTAATTTTGCGCAAAGCGATCGCGAGCGGAGCCCCGTAGCTAAGAAAATTTAGTTGTTTATCCACAGCCAAAATTTTAGTAGCCACTTGACCGTACGTTTGCCCGTCCGTCTGTACCACAGGGAAACCAATGTAAATTGTCACCCTCTCTAGCTAGTATGGGAGCCTGCAACCTGATATTGCACATATATGTTGTGGTGAATTGACAGCTGTCAAAACAGGGTATCCACTGATCGAATTTACTGATACTGATCAGTATCACATGACTATGTCGTGGGCTTAGTTGTCGACCCATCACGGACAGGCGTTTATTTTTTAAGTCCTCCACTGAAAAGTTACTAGTTCTCAACTGATGGCAGGCTAATTTCTTGGCAATGGTTACAAAATAATTGTTTGAAGTAAATATAATAGTAACAGGAGATTTTCCTTAAGCCTTGGCTAAATCTGTGTATTGGCTCAATTAAAGTATCATTGTTTTCTAAAACCATAAGACAACTTTGAAAAGAAAGTGTCGCTAGGTGGCTTTTAATTAGTTGGATGTCCTATTTTGTTTGTAGA